AACAACCCTCACCATTCCCTGTCTAGACCCAACAGTCATCTTGCAAAGATGATAGAGAGGTAGAATTCAACAAGGACATAAGCTGCATCCACTATTCAACCTCCCAGTCCACCAAATTCCTCCTTGATTTAATGTCCCAGAAGCACCCTGAAGAAGAATTTTCCATGAATTCTGCAACTTTGCCCCCTTTATTCAGTGATAGAACAAAGATCCTTGGGAACCTAACTTTTAAAGGGAACGAACCCAACCAAGAATCATGCCAAAATTACACTGTCTCTCCATACCCCATCTTCAAACACAAATTCTTCCTTATACAGTCCCCGAAATAATCATTAGAAAAGAAATTATTAATTATTCCTTTCCAAATCCAAGATGCCCGATTAGACAAAGAATTCGTAATTAAGCATGTATTAAAGTCTAAATTATACACGCAACACACAACTTTTTTCCACCACGAATTCTTCTCTGATGCAAATTTCCATACCCATTTACCCAAAAGAGCTCTATTTAGAAGTGCCAAATTCGGAATTCCCAAACCCCCCAACCTCTTCGGCTTGCATACTAACTTCCAATTCAGCCAATGAATATTCCTCTTATCTGCCGAACCGCCCCAAAGAAAGGCTGCCATTATGGAATTCAATCTCTTAACCACACCAATTGGAATTCTAAAAGGGAGAGAAAATAAGTCGGAAGAGAGCACAAAACTGACTTCACTAAAACTGACCTACCAGCTAAAGATAAGGATTAGCCTTCCAACCAGCCAATTTAGAATAAAATCTCTGGACTATTGGTTCCCACAATACTGCAGAATTCCTCTTAGATCCCAAGGGTAATCCTAAATATTATGTTGGAAAAAATCCCACTGTGCAGCCAATTTCCACTGCCCAACTTGCTAACTCATCTAGATCCACATTAATACCAAAGATTTTACTCTTAGATAAATTCAATTGCAAACTTGTCATCAATTCAAAAATTAACAGCACCCTTCTGACATTCTTCAAGTCTCGAACAGTAGCCTTGCTAAAGATAATGAGGTCATCCGCAAATTGCAAATGTGATAGCATAAACAACCTCTATTGATTTCCTAACTCAAAGCCCGAAAACAGCCCTATCTCCACTGCTTTAGCCAACATCAAATGAAGCAACTCTCCAACCAAATTAAACAACATTGGAGATAATGAACATCCATGTCGGAGACCTCTTGCTGTTTTAAATTTTTCTGTCGGTGACCCATTAACGAGAAATGAAATTATGGCTGTTGAAATGCATTGATTAATCCACGAAGACCACTTATCCCTAAACCCCATTTTGCACATTATTTTCATCAATATAGCCCAATCCACATAATCATAAGCTCTTTTAAAATCTACTTTAAATACGACCCCCTTCAACCCCTTTTTCCTCCAATAATCGATACCCACATTTGCAATAAACGAGCAGTCCATAATCTGTCTTCCCGGTATAAACGCAAATTGCGAGGGGCTAATAATTTCATTTATACAAAGGCTTAACCTTATAGCTAGAACCTTAGAAAGAATTTTATATAATCCTCCAACAAGGCTAATTGGCCTAAAATCTTGTAGCTCCTCCGGATTCACCCTCTTTGGAATGAGAGAGATAAAAGAATGGTTTACCTCCGAGTCTCATACCTTCCCTTGATGAAAATCTCTAAAAAACAGCACCAAGTCTTCTTTCAAATTTCCCCAAAACTTCTTGAAAAATCCTAAATTCAGACCATCTGGGCCTGGTACTTTATTGCTGTCCAAATGCGCAATTGCTTACCAAATTTCTTCTTCAGAAAATGTATTTTCAAGAGCCCTGTTTTGATCTAATGAAAGTTTTAAAAACTCCAAATCCAATTCCTTCACAACCAAGGTATCTTTTTGGTTGAACACCCATTGGAAAAAATCCTTCACTGATTTTTTAAGTAAAATAGGATCCGAAATAACATTATTGTTCACAATTAGAGACTTGATCCTATTCATCCTTCCTCTCGCTCCTGCAATTTGGTGGAAAAATCTTGTGTTCTTATCTCCTTCCAAACCCCACTTCATTCTTGATTTCTGCAACCAAATCAATTCTTCTTTCTTGTACAAATCCCATAATTCTTTCTTCGCTTCCACTAAAACCTTCATAGAAACCAAAGAACTACCTTTTTGTAAATCCAATTCCATCTCCTGAATTTCATTCTCAAGGCTGTTAATCTTTGCAGGAAACTGAAGATAACTTTTACTAGACCATCTTTTGACTGCCCCTTTGACTCCCATCAACAGATTAGTAATGTCATTATTTTTTCCCTGTTTTCAAAAATTCTGCAATTCCTCCTCCATCATCTCGCTAAAACCAGCCTCTTCCACTACATAATTAAACAGCCTAAATGGTTTGTGACCCCAGTTAATTTCATAATTTTCCAGCAGAATCATATTGTGGTCCGAAATAGACCTCGGCTATAAGGTTTGAATAATCTTGGGAAACATTGATAGGAACCTGTGATTAACCAGAAAACGATCCAATCTGATATACGTAGGTTCTTCCCTGTTATTGCACCAAGTATAACGACCTCCTGACAACGGTAAATCAACCACATTTTCTTTATACACAAAATCTCTGAATAATCCCAATGAAACCGAATTTACAGCACCACCTACTTTCTCCTCATGTGCTAGAACTGCATTAAAATCCCCTCCTAAACAGACCTGGCCATTCACAGTCTCCACAAAGTCCAAAAGCTCTCTAAAAAATTGCTCCTTTTCTGACTCCACACTTGGACCATACACATTTATAAAACAGCAAGCCTCTGAATCCCCTTCAAAAGAGCCCATAATTGCCGTGAATCTCTGTTGTGTAAATTCTTGCTGCACTACAAACTCTTTCTCATTCCATAATGTTATTATTCCTCCAGCAGAACCTTCAGCTAGAGAAACTAACGAACCTGTTAAGAATTTTCCTCCCATTTTCCTCAGGACAGAATTCCTCACGACTTCCAATTTCGACTACTGTACAAATAAAATTAAAGGTTTCTTCTCATCAATAAACTTCCTAACAGCTCTAGCTTTTTACTCCTACCCAAACCCCTAACATTCTAAGACATTATCTTCCAATTAATCATCATTCTCAATCAACAACCTTATTAGGCTTATCCCCTTAACTTCCCCCATTCAACTCTCTCCCCTTTACTGAGGAAACTGCCTTTTTCATGAATGCTTTCCCCCCCCCTCTGAATGTAACTCCCATTAACTTACTCACATTCCAACACTCTAATGCCTCTACCTCTCCCTCAATCTCATCTTGACATACATGATCTGAAGTTGTACTAGCACAACTCTTCACTCCCCCCTTCTTGATCTCGAATAGACATGATTACATAATCCTCTTTCCGATTTACTGACGGCAACATTCTTGCTGGAAATTCTGGGTTGGAACGAGAGGACAGTCCCTGACTGAACAGCAGGCTGAAACTTCTCTGCTATATTATTTGATACTGAACCATGAGAAACAATACTAGTTCTAATACCCTCTTTATTCAGCCCATTCTTCCCCATAGTTTGCAGGCATGTTTGCAGCCCATTATCCCTGTCAACATTGTCAAGCTCTATAAATCACCTAACCTTCGTTGAATTCCTGGCTCAATCGGTGGGTGGGGACAACTCCTACAGTTTGTCAAACCCTCACATAAGTCAACAAAAGACATATTTTTTGAATCTTTATTCAAATTCAAACGCTCCTCAAAAGCTGAGCTTTTTCGTAGTGGGGAATCTTGTACCCATGCCTCCACCCTTTCTTGTGAATCTGACAAATCCTGAAATCCCACTTGTTCTGCCTGTCTCGAATGAATATTTTCCTGGCTCCGAAAGAATTATCTTTCCATGGATCTTCTTCAGAAATATCTCCACCAAGTCTGTTAATTCAGGGAAAAAATCCTCAGAATATTCAACCTTTATTTTGGTACAAAACTTCCTCCCATACGTATTAATAATAACATGTTCTGGAATATCAAATGGACTTTGGACCCTAAACAGTATCTGAGCAACTCTACAGTCCGCTCTTTGAGCAGTTTCTTCCTTAATCTTCACTAGCTTGCCCCATTTGGATGCCAAACTGGAAAAGAAAGGAACTGACCAATAGTTTAGAGGCACTCCTATCATGGAGATCGCACAATAAGCTAAGGGAATAATCCCATCATCCGAAACAGGTTCCAGTCTTTCAAACCAGAAAGACAAAGCATCCCACCTCTCTTCCAGCGCAGTTTTCATCTCCTTCTCCGACGGAAAAACTACCAGGCAAGCGTTCTTTGCAAAACCCCACCTTATCACCATATCTTTGAAACCATCATTCCAAATGACCTTTTGCACGAACTCCACTTTAAAAAGTTCCTTGTGAATCCCAGTCAGGGAAGATTTCAGCCAAACCCTTTCCTCCACCGTCATAAAAAATTCCAAAGGCTTTCTAACCTCCTTCAAGTTACTATGATTGTTCTGTTTAACACCCTCTTGATCTTTGTTCACCCCTACTAGCGTCTCTTTATATGTCCTTCCATCAAGAAACCTTTTTAACAGATCTGTCTTCCCCACCACTTCCACTGAAGATGGATGCATTCCTCCCTTCACCACTCCTCCTTCAGCACTATCAACACCCTCTCTTCTAACACCTACCCGACTCCTCGACCCAGATACCTTCTCATATTTTTCTACTACCACTGTTATTCTTCTCCCATCCAGCATAACATTGTTCATCTTATCCACTGCATTGTGCAGATCCTCCTTACTTGCAAAATGAACAAATGCAAAAGTACACACTTTATATTTTGGTCTCTTATTAATAAAAGGAATGAACACCTTAATAACTTTGCCATGATAACTAAAACATTTCCATAATGCAGTTCGATGCACTCTCCTACTGAGATTATCAACGAACGCTGACCATGGACCTCCTCCTTGGACTTCACTGACTTTGCCTACAGAAAACTTGCCTTTCGAAATCTCACTCTCTCTCTAACTAACTCTCTCTCTCATATTTCTAATATGACTACAATTAAATTGCTCGACGGATCACTTCAGAAACATCACAATTATATGCCCGTTCTATGCTTATCTACTTTACATAGTTATATATCACCAAAAAATATGAACTACGTAGTTATATAATTTTTCAATTAATTTTTTTTTTTTTGCAAAAAAATAACTCTTGAGTTTTTATAAAGATGTATTATGATTATAAAGTACTATGATAATAAATAGAAACAAACACAAAATTTAATATTAAAAAGTGAATTTATAAAGTTTTAAATGGTAAAATTAATTATTAATAAAAATATAATTAAAATATATAAAAATTTAAAAATTTTAAAAGAATCGGTTGTTTTTATCCATCCATTTGATCCATCGTTGATGTTGGAATACTTAGGCCAATATATATATGATTTACTAAACATATTTAATTTGAAATTAAACTCAAGTTTATCGACACCATATTACCAAAAAAATTGAATTAATTAGAATTATGTTATCTCCCATATTCATATAGATGTGAGAAATGAAGATTGCCAAACAACGTATTAATTATGTCTTTGACAAATAACATTGGAAAGGAATATTTCTGGTTGGTCAAATACAACCTGGGTTTTAGTCAAAGGAGGGAGGGATACAGATACAGTCAGACAGCAATTGCCAATTGATTTGGGATTGGTCGATTGGGTTGAAGAAAATTAACGGTCTTATCCACATCTTTCCTAATTTAATCCTTTTTAGCCATCAAATCTAATCCTAATCCACTTGAGATGTTAGGTTGTTCATGATTAAACTTATAAGAGCAATTAATTAGCTATATGACACTCAATATTATCAGAAAAATCTATTATTGTGTAATAAATACCAATACAATAAGACTTAACTAGAGTGTTAAAAAATACCCGATCCGACCCGACTATCCAATTTAAAATTACCGAATATTTATATTGAAAATACCTGAATTTACGGGTCGGGTGCCCGGCCCGATTAACAACTTGTGAGAAGTAAACAAGTTAATGCATTGGAGTTCTAGAAATCAATGATTTTGCATTGTGGTTCTTGGTAAATGTTGTGAATGGTTGATAGTAGTTTTTTTTTTTTTTGTGTGCTGTCAATCAATTAATTAATTAAATTGCAAGTTTATTCTTCAGTCTGTTGTGAAGTCTACTAATTCATGCAAAGTTTATTTTTTAAGTTTATAATTTGAATTTTATAATCGGGTATCCGGTTACTACGGGCCCAAAATTTAGTACAAAAAATTTCGGGTATCCAGAATTTCAGATACCTGAAAAGACGGGAGCCCAAAATTTCAAATAACCGAAAGTACGGTTGCCCGGATATGAACACCTAGCCATAACCCATGATTAGGGATGGCAAGCAGGTACAATTTCGTGGATTCCGCACCGTATCCGCTCTAATTGGGGCGGGATAGGTATAATTTTAGTGGGTAGTGGGCGGGTGTGGATTTAGAAAGTGGTACCCATCGCGGGTAGTGGGCGGGTAATGGGTTTGAGACCTTACCCGCCCCGCATCCACCCGCCCCGCATCCGCCCTCCCCACATCCGCCCGCCCAACTAAATATCCATTAAATTTTGGACCATTCTGAATTTAGGTGTAATTTTAAGAGACTAATTTATAAATCCTAATTTGTATAAGATATAACTTGTAATTTAACCAAGTATTAGGGATAAGTTTATGCATAATTTTTTTTCTTTCAAACCTCTTGTCTTCACTCTCCAGCTTTTTCATGTATGTTTCTTCCCTTTTACTTGAAATTTATTTTGTAAGAGTCATTTCCGTAGTATTTTCGTTTAAAAGCTCCTCTGCATTAGTTTTAAGAGTTTAATTTTTATTTGCTCATAGCAGGTACAATTTCGTGGATTCCGCACCGTATCCGCTCTAATTGGGGCGGGATAGGTATAATTTTAGTGGGTAGTGGGCGGGTGTGGATTTAGAAAGTGGTACCCATCGCGGGTAGTGGGCGGGTAATGGGTTTGAGACCTTACCCGCCCCGCATCCACCCGCCCCGCATCCGCCCTCCCCACATCCGCCCGCCCAACTAAATATCCATTAAATTTTGGACCATTCTGAATTTAGGTGTAATTTTAAGAGACTAATTTATAAATCCTAATATTGTATAAGATATAACTTGTAATTTAACCAAGTATTAGGGATAAGTTTATGCATAATTTTTTTTCTTTCAAACCTCTTGTCTTCACTCTCCAGCTTTTTCATGTATGTTTCTTCCCTTTTTACTTGAAATTTAATTTTTGTAAGAGTCATTTCCGTAGTCATTTCGTTTTAAGCTCCTCTGCATTTAGTTTTAAGAGTTTAATTTTTATTTGCTCATACTGATTTTATTTTTTTTAGATTCATCTTAATGTTTGTTTTAAGCTTAATTTCTTAATGTTCTACAAATCAATATCTTGTGACTGAGCACCCACGTTTTTGGCTAACAGAGTCAGATCGTTGCTTCTCAAATCTCTATTTTTAACGCCACTGAATAGAATTAAGTGTTTCACATGTGCTTCACAAACCTCCATTTTTAACGCCATTGAAACTGACTTTTTCAAATTCAAATTTCAACCGAGTATTTTGTAATACTGGTGTTTTATTATGGTGTTTTATGAGAATGATGATTGTAATACTGGAGTATCAGATGTCACAAGTATTGCTTGAAATTTTAGAATGTTGTGCCAAAGAACAAAAACATTATGTGTTTGTCATTTATGTTTCTAGACTTTAATTATGTCTTTTATTATGATGTTTTATGTACTTTAAGATCTATATTAACACTTAACTCAGATAATCATTAGTTTATTTTATTATGTTTCTTAATAGATGTGTTTGTTTTATGTTTGTTGCTTATGTATAACTTAAGTTTGTTGTCAGGCGGGTTTAGCCGGGTACTTCTCCAGTGGGTAGTGGGTGTGGGGATGGATTTGAGAATGTACCCGCGTGGACGGGTGTGGATTTGAAAATTTTTACCCATCATGGGTGGTGGGCGGGTGGTGGATTGAAAAATATTAGGTGGGTATGGGGATGGGAGGGAGTATCCGCACCCGACCCACCCGTTTGCCATCCCTACCCATGATTATGTAAACATTAAAGCTCCCATTTTACAGTAAAGTATACTCTGCTTCACTTGATCATGGAATTATTTATTTTTAACAAAGAAAACATGAACAGAAATAAACATAAAAATAAAGGGATTTCAAAACAACTAAAATGAGACACAGTCGGAGCAACCCATCAAAGCTCCTGCTCCATCACCACCGCTAGAATAATTCCAGTACTACACAACTCAAGGTGGTCCGGTGCGGCGGCGCCGTCCTGTAAACGTACGGGCTCGGTTCATACCCAGGGTGTTCCTCCTACCCAGATTCTGACAATTAAACCTTTCGAAAGCGTTCCTCATCTGAGGGTCATTTTCAACCTCCAAGAGACAATCAAGAACCCACAGATCATCGAGGGTATTGGCTAGAAACCGTAGCTCCAACTCTTCCCTAATCCTCCGGTTTTGCTCCTCCATCTCGGCAGCCGCAACTTGTGATGCTATCAGTGACTGCATCACGCGCCGGTTAACCCTTTCTCTTCCTTTCCAATCTAGCCCTCATAGCTCTCAGGCCACGACCCTGTTTGCACAATCCACAAGCATGCACGCTTTCAAGACTCATAAGTCATAAAAATAAGTTTAATTTTACAAGAAAAGCTTATATGTAAGCGAAAAGAGTTGTACTGACTTTCTTGAAGCAAAAACACTTGGCAAAAATCGAAATTTTAGCTCAAGTTTACGGCTTACGAGAACCATTGAAACTAAAGTGAAAAAGAAATTTGACCTTGGTGTACAGGCGACCCAGCCAAAAATGGTGAAACCGAAATCCCGTCATTGGAGAAATGTTCAATTAGAGTAAAGCTAAAACGTGGAAAGAGAGCTTCGAATTTTTGGGAGGGGAAAGGGTTTTGTGCTAGAGAGAGTGATGAGATAGAGGAAAGAGGAATGGCAAGGGCTGGAATTAGAGCTTGAAACCTCAGCCTTTTGCACTAATCTTGTTGAATGGAGAGAGGGGTCGTGCTTGTTCGGCTTAAGTGCAAGGGTGCTCGCTCTCCCTTTGTAACCACCGCTCTTTTTACTATTATCGAACGTACAATTGCGCGCGGGTTTGAAAGTCTTATCCCTTCATGTGGAAGGTTACAATTTCATTGGTCTAAAAAACAAAAAACAAAAAAACTAAATTTAAATCCTATAATTCTTGCTCAAAATTAGAATTTTTTTACTAAAAGATACCCCTGTCAAATAATTATTTTTTTAATGTAACACTATCAAAGATTAATTCTCAATCTGAAATTTATTTCTGCCAGTAATAAGATTTTTTTTATAAAAAGTGTTCTAACGAGGTGGCATTCGAGTCAGTAAAGACGTTTTCCATAAAAACATCTTTTTCTTAGGTGGTTATCCAACAACAAAAAATGTATTTTTAATGAAATACAATAAAATTATTAAATATAAAGTTACAAAATAAAATTTGGATATAAAATTAAATATTTAATTCAAAAATTTTAATTTCAAAATATTTATACATTTAATAAATTTTTGACATCAAACTTAATACAACATTAGAAAAAAATAAAATCGACCATGCCTTCTTTCCATACCGTCGTAACCGTTTTTCGCCCGGGTGGGGAAAAACCAGTACGATTTAGGGGTTTTTCTTTGAAAAGATTTTGAAATATGAGGAGTCGCCACCAATCATTTTAAGATACGATTGGAACACCATAAAAATCGGGTGATTTTAATAGATTATTTTATTTTACCAAAATATTGAGTTTTGGGGTCTGTAAAAATTCAGAAAATCAGGCTCGGGAGTCGGTTATGCGTGGGGAAGGGTTAGCACCCCCACAACGCCCATAAATTGGTACCTATTTGATTACCCTATTTTGAAATTTGGAAAATTTGAGTTAGAAGTTTTATTTAATTTAGAAGTTACTATGGATGCAAAGTTGAAGAGGATTTCATACCTCCCCCTTAGAGCGCAAGGTTCTTAACCTTGAGGTCGTGGGATCGAGTCTCACGGAGGGCATTTCATAATTCGGAGGTCTCTCACGGAAGTTGCTCTTAACCTGGTGTTGGGGGCAGCCTATTATCCTACCTCCCCCTTACCCCATTACATATGAGAATAAGGGTCAGCTAATTTATGGATGCAAAGTTGAAGAGGGTGCTTGTTTATTAAAGCCAATAGTGTTCGCCCCCTAGCATGAATGTGGGAGATCAACTATTATGCCCAATAACCATACATTGCCAAGATTTTAAGAAATCATGATGCGATATTAAAAAAGATGTCGACCTACTTCGGGAATCACTAGTAGTCACCCCCTGAGCATACTTGCGGGAGATATATCATTGATTCCTTGGTAAATCAACATTACCTTAGTTGTTAAATAGAAATGCAATCAAATAATCAATTATGTCAACCTAATTATGCTAGGTAATTAATTAAGGCTCTCCCGAACTTTATGTGTCAAATTATGAAGCTTAGAGAGCCTAAAGGTTTAGACCTAAAAAATGGAGGTTCTAATATTAACCCTAATTAATTTAAACTAATTATTGGATCGAATAATTGAGATGGTCCCTTGAGCATGAAGACTAGGGCCAACTCAAATTACTCCATAAATTAAAAGACTAGAGTGAAATCTAACCTAAAGTAGAGGTTCTAATTAAAAACCTAATCAATTACGTTAAGAGAACACCTAATTAAAAGTCTAAGGGCTCAAGTGAAAAGAATCTTGATATAAAGGGCTAAACCTGAAGTATAAGGTTCTAATTAATGAATATATTAAGAGAAACCTAAATCTAAAAGTTCAATCTGCAAAGTTAAAAATCTAGGATTAAATTAAAATAAAATAAGAAACATAAATTGAAAAAATTGCAAACATGGATAAATAAGAAATTAAAGGATTAATAAAAAATGGGAAATTAAAACAAATTATCAAATTTCCCATTAAGATGTAAATTAACAATAATTAAAGTCTCAAATTCAAAATAAAAAAATTAGTGGCTAAATTGATATGAAATAAAGTCAAACATCATATTCACTAAGGATAAAAACATGCAAACAGGGACTAACATGCAACGAAAATAAAATTCAATAGCCAAATAAACAAAAAAACAATAATCTTAAATTAGTGTCTAAATTAAAAAGTAGTTAAAATTAAGCATAAAAAATAAGAATTATGAAAGTGACCAGAATATAAAAACATGCCTAAATAAGAGGGACCAAAACACATTTTCCATTTTAAACCTAGAAAACTAAAGAATAAACATAAAAGGAAAAATAATACAATTAGGGCACCAAATTTAAAATAAAATAAACAAGCTTAAGATCAAGGACTATGATGCAAAAATACAGTACATGGGCTACAACACGAATAAACCATGAATGTAATTATGGAAAAACTAAAGAATAAACATAAAAGGAAAAATCATGCAATTAGGGCACCAAAATTTAAAATAAAATAAACAAGCTTAAGATCAAGGACTATAATACAAAAGTACAACAAAAGTACTGGGGCTACAACACGAATAAACCATGAATGAAATTATGGATAAACAATAAACAAAAAAGGTAAAATAACAACATAAGGACATGAATATCGAATTAAAATAAAAAAAATAGATGGGTGACCATTTTGTAAAAATGTGGATAACCATGGGGTACATGAAAGTAAAGAAACCAAATATTAATAATGAGAAATAAAAAGGGAAAAATATCAAAATCAGGATAAAGATCGAAATTAATTAACAAATTGATCACAAAACAAATGACCAAATTGAAAATGGGAGAAAATAGCGATGGCTACATGCGTGATTAGACCACCGAGTCCAAAACGCATGGGATTTGGGTAAAACGATATCGTTTGGATCTGGTTAAAAAACCCCCTTTTCCTTTCTTTTTCTTCATTTTTTCTTTTTCACTCTCTCTCCTCCCATAAAATACTATTCCATCTCTCTAGCAACTTGGGAAAGCACCGCCACCACCCATCGTCCGCTGCCGCGTCGGTCATCGTCATCAATGGTCAATTGGGCCTAAAAATTTAGGGATGTCTCTCCTTGACACGGTGGTCACAGATCCGGGATCGGTTTTGTGAAAAATAACCCCCAATGCCATGAAATAGGTCGAGAATCTCTCGGCTTCCAACTCTTCAATCTCTGACGTCTACCGTTGGATTGTGGTGATCTCAGAGTATGTTTTTCCCCTCGGTCTTCTCCTTCAGTTGACCATTCAGATTTATCGTCCGACCACCAGAGCTCCATAGTTGAACACTCGAAGGTAAGCTCTCTTTTTTAGTTTGGTTCTACTCCAGATTTGCTCTTTTTTTCCGATCTTTTTTGTTTATTGTTATGATTACTTCCTCTTTGTTTTTTTTTGGATCTGGTTTCCTTCCCTCTTGGTCTTCTTTTTTTCCTCAAATTTGCTTTCCTTTTTTTCTTCGTTTTCTCTCTCTCGATTGGTTTCAATATCTCTTTATCTTCTCTTGGCTGCTCCTGATTGATGGGTTTGGTGATGTTTGGTTAGGCAAAGATGACAGATCTGGATTTTTAGGTTGTTAGGTTGATTTTTTTTATTAAATTTGATTGATTGATTTTTTATTTGATTTTTTTTCTTTTTGGTTTGGTGAAATAGGGGATTCGGTCAGGCCGAGGTGATCGGCAGTGTAGCTTCTCGGTTGTGGGCGACGACAGTAGTGGCAGTGTAAGGTTAGGGTTAGCTAGGTTAGGGTTTAAGTTGGGCTTATAATTTGGTTTGGGCCTGGGTTGTTGGGTTTGTTTTGGTTGGGCCGGTTCTTAGGCCTATTTCCTTATAATGGGCTGCGTAAATATAATAATAATAATATATAGCCCGAAAAAATGGTGATTACAGTTGCCCCTCTTTGCTCATTGTTATGGAAAGGGAATGCAGCAAAGATATAAAGCACAATAATTTCGGCTTAGTCATTGTTCTTCTATCAGCAAGTTCTTCTCATTATGAACTCTTAGATGGGGATGCTAATCCACCTTCTTCTATGATGGATGAGATCCAATTGAAAAAATTATTCTCGTTATGAATTTCTTCTCTCGGAAACGTTAACCTAACTCCTTATGTGATGGAATTAAACATAGTGTTGGTGTTGATCCAACTCCTTATGCGATGGAATTGAGAGTGTTGAATAAGTTATTCTCATTATGAACTTATTCATTGGAATTATTAATCAATCTCGAGTGAGGTGTTGCCGATCCAACTCCATATGTGATGAATCGAGCAGGAAAAGTAATGCTTATCTAATTTCTTATGTGATGGAATCGAGTTAAGGTTGAACAAGTTCTTCTCATTATGAACTTTTTCTCCCTCATCAGATGAATTATTCTCATTACGAACTCTTCTATTGAAAATGTTGATCCACTCCTTCTGTGATGGAATCGAGTGAAATGGTGTACAAGTTTGTCTCATTAGGAACTTCTTCATTGGAAATATTGATCTACCTCATTCTGTGATGGAATCGAGCAAAGGTTGAAAAAGTTATTCTCATTATGAACTTCTTCTCCCTCATCGGATAAGTTTTTCTCATTACGAACCATTCCATTGGAAATATTGATCCACCTCTTTCTGTGATGGAATTGAGTGAAATGGTGATATTGATCCAACTTCTTATATGATGGAATCGAGAAAAGTGCTGGTACTGATCCAACTCATTATGTGATGAATCGAGATGAGGTTGAACAAATACTTCTCATTATGAACTTCTCCCTCATTAAATGAGTTCTTCTCATTACGAACCCTTCCTCAGAAATGTTTGATATGTCCTCTCTTTGAATAATTTTACCTGTAAAAGATCATTATGTGTTATTGATATGTATGCACAAAATCATGAGATAAAATCTTTTTTGACTCTTTTAATTTCTGTCAGATATTTAAAACTTGATGAAAAATAAATGTTTATGCTCTTATTTTGCAAATTCTTAAATATGCATACATGATTTCATTTTAGTGTTGCAAATTCTATTGTCTAGTGAATCTCTGCTCCTTTTTCTTCACTGAGTTTTGTCTTTGTTGGGTCCATCTAGGAAACAACACTATTTACTCGTATTGAAGCAAACTAGCCACTTCATGGTAAATGGTTGACTTCCCTACATGAAAAAATCAAGTTGAAGAAAGATATCACTAAAAAGGTTTATAGGGAGACAATCTTAAGAATGATTCGAACAACATTCCAGAGAAATGATCTTAAGAAGGACTCAAACAATTTTCTAGAAAATTGATCCTAAGAAGGAAAAAATAGTTTCTCACAATAGATTTTACATACATCCTCATGAAAGGTAAATCAAAATTTATCATGTTTATGAAATGATGAAATGCATGAATGGTTGTTTTATTGCTCTGTCGAGAATGGTTGCAAGAGCATTCTTTATTGCTAGAGCAATCTTCATTCTTTTCCTGGCTCGACTGTCTTCCTCATCCGCCACACCTGAGTGAATTTTTGCTAATCTTGACTTGTGAACGGACACATCTTGCCCCAGTAAATTTTGGCCCTTGATAAATTTGTTTTCTTCTGCCTTAACTTGTGTAGAAATCCAATAGGACTTTCATATTAGCCAGAAAGTTTTGAAAAGAGAATCTATCATTTCATGCTCTGGAGAACATGTACTCACTGCTACCATTTGATAAAAAATTAATAGCTATTGTATAGAACTAACCACTGCAAAAACTAATAAAACATTCACGTTCCCTAACAAGTCCTATGATACATCCATGCCAAGGATGATAGCTGGAACCTAAGAAACAACTGGAATTGAATGTGTTTGCTCAATTGCTAACATGAAATTTAACCCTCCAAGATTTTCATTGATTTAGTGGAAATAGAGCTTCCTGGTTATCCACTTTTAACCTTGACGCAGTCAGAGCATGACCTTCAAAATGGGTGAAATTAGAATTTATAGGAACCCCTTATGAACTCAACATTGGCTCAACATCATAACTGCTGGTATGAGAAGCATTCATCATTTCTCGTGGCCTCGACATTAATGTACAAAAAATCACCATAATAATGCACCTGTATGTTACAAGGCTCGAAGGACTCATCATCGAGAAACCTTTGAAAATCAAACTTGGCTTCTTCAAAAATATATTTACAGTTATCATCAAGAAACCCCTAAAAATTAAGCTTAGCTTCTTTAAAAATTCAATTTCAATTGAAGATATCAAGAAACCCCTTAAAATCATGCTTAGCTCCTTTAAAAATTCATTTGAAGACATCAAGAAACCCCTAAAAATCAGGCTTAGGCCATTTAAAAATTCATTTAAAGACATCAAGAAACCCATGAAAATCAGGCTTAGCTCCTTTAAAAATTCATTTGAAAATATCAAGAACCCCTAAAATTAGGCTTAGCTCCTTTAAAATTCATTTGAAAACATCAAGAAACCCCTAAAAATTAGGCTTAACTTCTTTGAAAATTCTTTTGAAAACATCAAGAAACCCCTAAAAATTAGGCTTAGTTTATTTGAAAAATCATTTGAAGAAATCATCAAGAAACTTCTGAAAATCGGACATAGCTCCTTTAAAAATTCATTTGAAAATATCATCAAGAAACCTTTGAAAATTGGGCTTAGCTTCTTTGAAAATTCATTTGAAAATATCATATTGGGTAGCATGCCCCACTTCAAAAATGATGATTGTTATATGTATTCGATTCCTCAATTCTTGAGGTTCTTCCACTCTTAACGTAATTCCCTCCATTTGGGGCTTAAATTCTGGTTTTTTCTTTTCCTTTCTCTTATTTCCCTGGAAAATCTGTAATAATTATGTATATGCGTATGAAAATATGAATGCACTTAAATGTATCAAAATGTAGTGCATGGCTTTCTTGTATGTAAAAATGTTGATTATTCTTCTTCTCATATCAAAGTGGAGACCTCAGTCTTCCTTCACTTGATCATTCTTTAATGAATCATGCCTCAATGGCAACTTGCCAACTTAAGCTTGCATATTATGAGGAGTAATATGATTACTTGTGCAATCATGTATTTTATGTCTTCTATCTTTGGTTTCTTCATTATAGTCTTAGAAGAAGTGCTCTCTTGTAGTCAGGCATATGGTCTTGATGCCTCTTCTGGTTCTAATTCAATAGTTCTATTGGAAACATTTCAAGGTAATCTCTTCTTGTCCTCATTCTGTCCTTGGCACTCCAAACGATGAGGCTCATTCACCATGTCTGCTTGATTTAAATCTTGTTATCTCAGTGGGATCTGGTTTTGGTGTACCCCACTATAGGTACTCATGGCTTTATTCGTTACAAAATCTTTAAACCGAATAGTTTTACTCCTGTGTCACTAATCAACAATCATATGCCATTAACATAAATGTTATCGAATAATTCGAGGGCTTCATCTTCATGATGTCATAATCAAATGGACACTTAAGAAGTGATAAATTCTTCTAATAGGAATGTCTTTAATCTTTTTATGAGCTGAGATATGTGCCCCTTTCGACTAAGGCGATCATCTGCTTCTTGATGGTTTACTAACAATATCACAAAGAAGTGTTAGAAGTTCTATCCTCCAGTCCTTCTGATCTCTCAGACTGTTTTTCTTTCAAGATTGTGAAATATATTTGTTACTCTGACATCATTTGTTCTTTTTCTCTAATTGAGGCGGAATGAGCCTCACCAACTTCAAGGCCCCTTTTCACTTGAAATTATCATGTTTTAAAATATTTTTCTTCATCTTTCAATTTTATAATTGTGAAAAAAAGTTTGATGAATAAGTTTTAAAAATGTTGTCAGTTTCTTCAGGCTCACAATAAAAACAAATTGCAAAGTAAGATTTCATTGAATATCAAGTAAGTCAAATTCTCTTTTAATCTTTCAAAAAGTATATCTATTTGACAAGTATAAAGTTTGATGTTGATATAAGGCTTAGGCTGACTTGGGAAGGTAGAGTGTTTCAGGTTAATTTGGGGGAGGTAATGTGTTTTAGGTTAATTTGGTTAAGATCTAGCTTTCTTGATTATGATGTTCATTGATCTGATAAAGTAGTCGTTATGCTTATCTTCCAAAAATGTTCACTGGTTCCCAACCCTCGTGAGCGCCTTTGGGTTGTGCATTGCCTTTCAAGAGATGTATAAGACCATCTTCTGTACAATAGTTGACAATCTTCGTATTCGAGCTGCATTTTCAGGTTTTCAATTAGAATTCTCTTTTAGTTTTAAGACGACAACTAAAATTTTACGTCTTGAGCCCTCATTTTGTTATTTTCCCTATCATGCATTAAGATTTTAGAAAACTATTTTTTGCAGATAAAATTAACCCTGAGGAGCGGAACAAAATTTGAAGATAGTCTCTCCACTTAGAAATCCATGCATGATTAGAAGGGACTTTTCAGGCACGTAATATAGGCTAGGGCTATGGTTATGAAAGAAAAGGATAAATAGGACCAAACAAGTGTTTAAGGGTGATCGAACCAAGGATCAACTTGTGCTGACATCTTCAATCTTGCTCTGTTATTTGAATATGCTTATAATCGTTTCATTTTCTTCATTTTCCTGGATCCCTCTAGACTACCCATTTTTGGGTTTTCACCCTAGAGTTCATCTCCATCTCGCTACCATCACATTCTTGGTCTTCTTATTGAATCTGGATCTTCAAACTAGTCGTACTTGATCAACCTTGTGGTTTGAGGATTATTAAGTCACTCATCTTGAAGTATTTGATTTGTTTTCTTTTTTTTTCTTTTTTCTTTTTTTGGTTTATTTTCTCTCTTTTGTTGCTTTATTTTCTCTCTTCTTTCTTTCTTTTCTCTCTTTTTATGTTTTTTTCTTCTTTTTTCTATATCTTCTCTTTTTTCTCTCCATGTTGTCAACTTGATTTAATTTTTGATCACTTTGAATTTTGTCCAGTTTGCGATATCTTGTTATTTTTCACTTTATTTCACCATGTTTTGCCTTTGTAAAAAATCTAGATTGATGGCTTTCATTTTTGCAAGAAGATTTTCTTCACCTTACCCCCGGTGTGGAGGGTGATCCTTGGTTAGGGTTGTATTAGAAGAAAAATACTATAGGCTCAAGTGGGGACAACAAGTGATGTATACATATATATAGGGATAAATGAAAGAAAGTTGTTCATCATTTCACAGACGGAGGTCCTTGTGAAAGAGGTATCCCCAGAGGATGAGTATTCAAGATTAACTTCATTCCTTGAAAACAATGTCATTAATGCATGATGGAATTATTTTCTACTTCTTCTTCTTGCTACAAGTATTCCCCAATTATCTGAGTTTTTTTCTTTCACAACTTGATCCAAAATACCTTATCTCATTCTCTTGTAGGAATAGTTTTAGTACATACGGACACCTTGCACTTTATGCCTTTAGGTCTTATCGAGGTTGGATATAAATGTCGATTTTATGTCTAGGAAGGGAAATGAGTGAATCTGAAGCCATCTATCTTGGAAAAGGCAGTGTTAAGGAAAGATCAGCTCTGTTTAGAAAGGTAAAAGTGTAGGTTTGGTGGCCTGGGGAGGATAAGGGTATAACTTCAGAGCTTCAAAGGGAGGTGATGTCGAGGTTTGATTTTTTTGGTAATGAGCACACGCCATGTAAGGAAACGAGTAAGGGTGTTCGGCTTTGGAGGGAACATGAAAGGTCTAATCTTGCCACTTGTTAAATATCGATAATTAATGAAGTAGTAAAAGAACCTTTAATTCATTTGATATTAAAATATTTACAAGATCAAAACTTGATTTATTGCTCATAACCTTAGAAAATGACATAAGTTCAATAATCAAACTATTTTAA